AATTTTGTAACGGAGGAAGGGGACGACATTGTCGAAGGTGAGAAATTTTATAACATGAGGTCAGTAAATGGTGAGCCTATGCAACAGATGGTAACGATAGCGGGCGAAAGCATTTTATGTGAAATAGATAGCGGTAGTGCCGTTTCGGTGATGCCAAATGATGTCTATGAAGCGTATTTTAAAACAAAGTTTAGAATGCGTTTTTCTAATATCGTTTTAAATTGTTATAACGGGAGTAAGATAGCACCCAAGGGTTCCGTGGAATTACCGTTAACGTATGAAAAATGTACACAGCGAATAACATTTTTTGTAATCGATACAATACACAAACGACCTACTTTGTTGGGACGTCATTTTTTGAGCTTGTTTAAGTTAAAGATTTGTGGGTCATGTTATTATAGTGCAAATGAGAGCGATTCAGGTTCTAAGCTTTTAAAAAAATATGAAAAATTATTTTCTGACGAATTGGGAAGATTTACTAAATTTAAAGATAACTTGAAAATCAAACTAAATGTACCTTTAAAATTTTTTAAGTCGCGCCCTGTACCTTTTGCTCTAAAAAATAAGGTAGAAATTGAAATAAAACGGTTGGTCGAATTAGGTATTTTAGAAAAAATAGATCATTCCGACATCGCTACACCAATAGTTCCGGTGTTGCGGGCCGAGGATTTGTGGGGATTATTCTGTCACCTTAAATAAAGCTCTGTATGTAGATAATTATCCAGTACCGCGTATTGAAGAAATATTTGCCAAACTCCATGGAGGTGAGGAGTTTACCAAACTTGACCTCTCCAGGGCCTACAACCAGTTGGAACTGGATGAGTTGAAACAGCTGACTTGCATTAATACCCACAAGGGTTTATACCGTTATAACCGGCTAGTTTTTGGATTATCCAATGCTCCTTTTATTTTTCAGCAAACACTTGAAAAATTACTGTGTGATATTGAAGGTGTTTGCATATTCATTGATGACATTTTAGTGTCGGGTGAAAATCGTAGTATACACTTGGAACGTTTAGAAAATGTTTTAAGCAGATTAGAGGATGCTGGTATGCGGTTAAAGAAAGATAAGTGTGAGTTTTTTTAGGGATTCGGTGGAATAATATTTAGGATTTGTAATAGATAAAAACTGACTTCACAAGTCACAAAAAAAGTTGACGCTATTTTAAATTGTAAACGACCCAAAAATATAAGTGAATTAAAATCATATTTTGGGCCTAGTAAACTATTATAGGTTCTATGCCCTTTGAATTGTCTTAAAAAAGGACGCAAAGTCGCATTGGAGAGAGGAGCACGAAAACTCTTTTAAGAACAAGAAATGGCTTCTGAACGGGTGTTAGCTCACTATAACCCCGAGCTGACGACGATAATTACAGCGGACGCGGGTCCTGAGGGCTTAGGCGCTGTGCTGTCGCAAGTACAAGGGAATGGCGAGGAACGCGTCATTGCCTGTGCATCACGTTCACTTTCGAAAGCAGAGTGCAATTACGCACAGATTCAAAAAGAAGCTGCGGCCCTTGTTTTCGCGGTGAAAAAGTTTCACTATTTTTTATATGGTAGAATGACACCGTTCATTTTGCGTACAGATCATAAACCGCTCATAACAATATTTGGTGATAAAAAAGGAATCCCAGAGTTGGCAGCAAATCGGTTATAAAGATATTCTATATTTTTGTCGAGTTATAATTTCAATATTAAGTATATTAAAAGCGATAATAACATTGCAGACTTTCTATCCCGATCAATAGACGGTATGCGCCAGTGCAACGAAGTGCTTAGCCCAGAGGTATATACATGTTTGTACATAAATTTTTTTAACGAATAATATTTTGAAACCGGTTACGTTAAATGACGTTAAGTTAGCGACAGCGGAAGATGCGATTCTAAAGCGAGTAGCGCAATACGTATCGTTAATAAAGGATGGCCAGGAAAATTACTAAATGATAATTTTAAACCTTACTATAATTGTAGGTTTGAACTTAGCGTAGAAAACGGTTGTCTTCTTAGGGGGCATAAATTAGTAATACCTACCATATTTAGGGAGCAACTTTTAAATGAACTTCATAGTTCCCATTTTGGAATTGTGAAAACTAAAGCGGAAGCGAGATCGCGTATGTGGTGGCCAAATATCGACAAACATATTGAACAAAAAATAGGTTCGTGTAGCATATGCAGTACAATGCGATCCGCCCCACCACGATCTCCGCTCCCTCCGTGGCCCTACCCGGAGCATTCTTGGGAACGTGTGCATCTTGATATGTTTTCACTAGAGGGTAAGCATTACCATGTCATGTCAAGTCAACAGACACCTTATCGATTATTATAAAATTGGAAGACGTTATGAGTAGGTTTGGTTTAATGAAAGTATTAGTAACGGACAACGCGACAAATTTCTGTTCTAATGAGTTTAACGAGTTTTGTAGTATTAACGGAATCAAACACATAACTAGCCCTCCTTATCATCCGGCCTCGAATGGACAAGCGGAAAACAGTGTTAAAACTATAAAAAAGGGTATAAAAATAATTCTAACCGAAAAAAATAATCAAGTTTCAATTAATAAAAAAATAAATAACATTTTGTTTAGCTATCGTAACTCCGTTCATACAACAGGGTTTTCTCCTGCTCAATTGATGTTTGGCCGTTCGTTACGTTGTCGTTTCGATCTGTTGCGAGGCACGAAATCGCTTGAGTCACAAAACTCACCTTCAACATTGTCTTTTAAATCTAATCAAAATGTTTGCTCTAAACAGATCTCACAAACTAGAAACTATGGAGGACAACGCGGTGTTAAATTAAAAAAAGGAGATCAAGTGTTGGTTAAACATTACTTTTATAACAGTAATAAACATACTTGGAAAAAGGGTATTGTTCAAGAAAAAATTGGTAATAGAATATATTTAGTACATATTTTAGATTTAGTGGTACAAAAACACATTGATCATTTATGTTTGTATAAAGGATCAAATGAGTTTTGTATAACAAAGCAACATAACAAAGGGGGGGATAATGTTGTTTTATATAGTTCTTTCGGGGAAGCTGGTCTAAAATGTAGCGGACACTCAGTGCAAGAAACCGATTATCCTAACCAAATTGCAACGACCGAGTCCGAAGTAGTAGGGGAAGGTATAGAGCCAAGTGTAGGCTGAGTAGGTCCTAATGTGTCCCCAGACTCAAATGAATGTTCTCAATCTGAAAATGTCCTTGACCTTACGTCGAAAGAGCCCAACGAACGCCGTTGTCCTGTTCGTTCCACAAGAAATCCTAGTGCTAAGTACAAATATTAAAGCTGGACATGTTTGTTAGATTAATATTTAAGTAGTTTTGTATTATAGATTATGTAATTAAGTGTTATTTTTTTAAAAGTAATGGTGGAGGGATTGTAATGTTCTCACATAGAGGGTAAGACGAGAAACACGTCAGTCTGTTGTCCGAACATTAAACGAAGCATATACGTTAGCAAATTACTTGTGTTTTATTCTAAATAATATCACAAATACAACAAACTCCTGTCTATGAGAGAGACTAAAAAAAACAGCTATTATACAGATTAAGTCTGTATAAGTTATAGAATGTCGCCATTTTGCATACGGAAATACGTGTTTAATATTGTGCTAGTGTACAAATTATAACAAACAATCATGCCTTTTGTTTGGCTAAGATACAGGTTCCTCCCCTCAGTTTATCCCGACAAAACGCTATTGCTAACTCATATTATAAATATTAAGGTATTTCTCGCTACCAGATCCCAGAAAAGTTTCAGATAAACATATAAGATCTGGTTCATAATTTGTCTTGTTAAGTTCTTGTAATGTTATTTCTAGTAATTCCTGTTTTGCTATGTTTTGGTGCATAATTTTGAAAGTTTTTTTATTGTGAGGCACGAAAAAAGACCTATTTTTGTAAAATAAACGTAAGTATAGTAAAGTAAAGTAAGGTACTTTGAGTTAAATGCGTTGGCCTATTTGGCATCAGATTCACTAATATTAGCATTAGCCCCCGATCGAGTCCGGGAAAAATAAGTACGGGATTGTTCTCTTTGGATACTGCACCACTTTAAAGGGAGCTTTTTCAGGCGCTGACCTACTGCTATTATTTTTTTCAATTGTTTGTCTATCACATAATTAATCGAATTACATCATCGAAAAGGATTCCTGTGTACACATTTAACTAAATGGCAATTTTGATTTTCATTACAAATTTTCTTTAAAGTTTTATTTATGTCAGTTATACTTAGGTACATATTTGTCAATACATTTAATACAATTATGGCATTATTAGGAAAATATTTAAGAAACTGACGTAGCTGTGATGATAGTATTTTAATATCATAGTCGTTTTCGCCAATGCAGATTATAACTTTGTCTTTTGGTTTTACATTTATGTTTCGAATATTCACGATAAAATCTGCTGACGGTGCATATGGTTTTGTTATTGCTATGATCTCGTATGACGTGTTGGCTAGCGACTGAATTACACGGTGGCGAGACCGGTACAGCGTTGGGTTCCTATCATGTAGGTATAACCGATTCTTGTCATCTTCTTTTTTAGCGCATACTAATTTCGTGGATCGTTGTGTGTTGTCCAAGGCTGGTGTCAATTTCTGTTACAGAGTATCTACTTGCAGCAGCATTTAGGTTTGGCGAAAATAATACTTAAAGTTTTATAGCTTAGAAGCGTTCATACACAATCGTTCCTGATTATACTTCAACTGAAATTATATCTTTACTGAAACAAACGTGTTTTTTTTTAACTTTTTTTCTAACAATTTTAAGTTTAGATGAACCACGTGCGAGGTGATATTCGCTCTTGGGCAGCGCGGCGGACTCTAAATATTTATGTAATGTTGTTGAACATTAATTCGCATGATGTTTGTCATTTGTGTGTAAACTACCTCCACGATACAGTAGAAATATCCTAGTGGGGTAACGATTAAAAAAGTTCTAAACGCTGACTACGTATGTAGGACGCTACTTTAGTACTTTAAATGTGTACATTACAGAAGACTGCGCCGCCAGTGGTAGTAGCGACTGTGGCGGCGGCCTCCATGGCGGTGGAGGAGCCGACGCCCGCGGTCGAGGTAAAAGCTGAGGTGATAGAGCGCGCACAATTGCCCTCCGTCGAGCCGGCCGCGCCCCCCGCCGCCCCCGCACCAGTCGCTCACATCACCCACGCCCCTGCCCCTACCGCCCCCCCCACCACCACCCCCACTGCTACCGCCACTGCTGCCGCCGTCGCCGCCGCACCGGACTCATCCAATGCTCCCGCCGTTGCGGAAAACCACGAAGAGAAACCAGTCGTCAAGGCTGAACCACGGAACGGACTCGAAAAAATGGATGCTTCGCATTACATTGACCCCATTGAACGATCACTAGCGAGTCTAGAACGGAGCCTCAATGCTGATGTACCGATTGACGTCAGTGTCAGCGTTGCCGAACCTCGAATAGACGATTTCTCCATGTCAAAAGCACCCATAATGACGGACGCGACGCATCACAACCTAATGGCGCAGCTGGGTGGTTTGTCCGAAATGACGCACGTTGCTGACCAAATAAAGAGTGAAATGTATGTCCCGCCACATAATGGCTATGTCGATAAAAATCCTCAGAACGAGCGAGAGATGCTCCGGCCCGAAGTGAATCCCAATTTACCCGGCATAAGCAGCGCTCCGCCCGTGTCGTCCATTTTCGATCCTACTTATTCGACCTCGCATTCAGTTACCGCTCAGTCGCATCTCAGCATGCCGGCCGCTCCGAATTTGATCACACCGGCAGTTAAAAAGGAGGAAGTAAAACCATTGCTGACGCCAAAGCCCATCGAAGATCTCATGGGTGTACCAAATATAGGAACAAACAATATTTCAGAACGAACGAAATATGAAATGGATAAAAAGATAGAGGACACTAAAAACTCCAATTTTGTGCAACCTTTTAAGCTAAAACAAGAACAAAATCTTAAAAATGCAAGCTCATGGTCGTCACTAGCACAAGCTGGCAGTCCGCAGAGTATACCTAATGTTGGTACGAATACCCAAATAAAACAAAAACCTGTTATGGATAGCTGTTTTCAGGTAACACCTTCATTATATTGCTTTATATTTTGCAATAAATACCAGTTACGTAACAACTATTGATCATTTCATTTCAGGCGTTCAAAAAACAAGCTCGAGAAAAAATTGACCGTCAGAGAGCACTTATTGAGCAGCAAGAACTTAGGAAAAAGGAACAGGCAGAAAGAGAGAGACAGAGGCAAGAAACGGAGAGACGACATCCTGAAGAAGAAAAATTGAGGTAACTTTATTTATTGAATGTTTCTTTCATGTGATTGATTTACATATTAAAAAAAAGCTAATAAATCAATCGAAGAAAAAGAAAAAATGTTTGTCCAAAGAATAAATAACCACTGCAATATAACACAATAATATGTAAACAAGTCGGGAAAAAAACTACCTATTTATTTAAAAAAAAAAAAACTTTCAAATTAGTTAAATAATTTGGTAGAAAAACTCATGGCCATAATTTTGTACTATTAAGGGGCCATTCAAGTATTACCGTAAGCAATAAAGTGGTGGGGTCTTCGAATTGCTTATTTTTGATGACATGGGGGTAGGGCCCTGGATGGTGATCGTCAGTAATATTTTTTTATTTACGGATTTATTGCAGAATTTAGCCGATTTCAATTTTTACACATAGCAACTCCTCCTTGTCGATGCTCGAAAGCGAAACATATTGAGGCAATCCCCAAAACGCATTGTTAATCAAACTTTACCGCGCGCGCTATTCATTTGCTCAAATTTATTGGTTCCTTATAGTATTTTACGCCACTTATTGGTTAGGTTCAGTATCGTTGAATTTGACGTGTTAACTTACATTAATATCTGTTTTTTGATTGAACTTTAATCTTCAAAGGAGCTTGGGATTGATCTTTCTACTCCACGCTTGTGAGGCGCGCGGTCTTATCCACTGGGCTACCATCGCCTTAATAGCGAATCACTATAAGTTGATTTCTCTATAGACTATAAACTCTTCATTTCTAGACTTGTTAACTGCTGCTCATGAACCTATAAAAAAATAAGGAAACCAGAACAAATTAAAAAATAATTATATAAATGTTTACGTAAGCATGAGGGGGAGTAAGAGCTTTGCTTACTTTTGGTGACGATACTTGAACTATATATTTGCTGACGATACTTGAACTATATATAACAAATACTGCGTTGGGTGGAATGGATTTTCTTTTTTTTTTCTTCAGAGCCTCGTCCGTCAATCATCAGCTTTTGCAATTCATGCGGGTGAAGTGCATCGTGTGACTCAAATACTTCTATGTATACTATTGGGCACTACAGTATTAATATATTGCGCACAAGTTACGGTCAACTTCCCGTATCTTCTTTAATCTACCACGAGCTGGCGATAAAACTAGTTCTTAATTTTGTAAAACGCGAACGTTGTTTCCGATAATCTCACACAAATTTTGTTAAATGTGACTTTTTAGTCACATACGCTGTCATTTATGTGCGTACTTTGTCAAAGTGATTTGAAACTTATTTCAGATAAGTATGTGACGTTATTTCGTATTTGCTGCCTAGCATATTTACCATGCCAGCTATCCGCGCGCCCGTACAGTCTACAGATGTGACTCAGTTTTTGTTCTCAATTACCGGTCTAGTAGTATAATATTAATGCGTTTAAAGAATGAGATTAAAAGTAGCGTCGCCTCGATTCAACTCCCGCTTGTACACTGTCGCTATCTATATTCACACCCGCCGGTGCAGAATGCAAAAAAATACGTTACGATATGCGTTTGTCGTACGTTCTATAACTTCAGGCCAATTTTTCATTGGAATCAATGATAAAAAATGCTACAAACCGCAAAAAAAAAAGGATCCGTTCGGCTTCGCTAATTTAAGAGCTTCACCAACATAATATAGAGTAATACTAGGAGCAATCTAGACTAAATTTTAGACTTAGAGACTTTATGAAAATAGAAAAATTGATAAGATAAAATAAATCGTCTTTATGATTATCGTAAGTCTAAATAATGCAAAGCGGGTCGCTATTTATTAATGGTGTTTTAAAATTAATGTATTTACTTGCGTATACAATTCTTTTGAAATATTTTCAAATTAATAGAAAATTTCCATTAACCCAATAATATAACGTCATAGCTATATACCGTTATTAAAGGGTTTTCGTTAATGGTACTGTGCATGTTGATGGTACGGGCTCGATGAGCCGCTATGTGTCATCCCATTTTTTACCCGTACTAACTGTATGTAAATGTGTCGTGCAGTAGCAGGGTGGTGGCGAGCGCGCGCAAGGTTGAGAGCGTGGAAGTGGCGTCGCCGAGCGTGTCGCCGGTGGCGCGCGCGTCGCCTCCCGCCGCCGCCGCGGCTGCCGCCGTGGCCGCCGCCGCTTCCGCCGCTGCCACCGCGCCCGACAAGCCCGCCGCCAGCGAGCGCGAGCGGCTGCGGCAGCGCGAGCAGGAGCGCCGCCGACGCGAGGCCGTGAGTACACACTGTCACTTCGTTATACAAATACTATAAATATCCATTTAGATAGCAAACTTTCAATTAAAAAGTGAGTACACACTGTCACTTCGTTATACAAATACTAGTACCCGGATGACCGAGCTTTACTCGGTTTTTTTTTAATTACATTTAGATACAAATTACATACCGATGAATAATATTTTTTGATCTTATTGACATAATAGAAAAAACTGAACGGGTTATTTGAGTGAAAATCATGAGTGCAATTAGTTTAATTAAAATTATTCTTATTTTTAAAAATTACTAAAAAAGGGCTCGAAATAATAGATTTTCTTACAAAAGAAGGGAATTTGAAAAAAAGAAGGAAAAAAAAAGTCGGACCCAAGACGGGACGCGAACCACGGAACTCCGATATCACGCCCGACCGACATCCCACCTGAGCTATTACGATCGTTAGTAGTCTGTCAAAATTTACCTTCTTATATTGTAGCAATTTTTTTATTGCCTGAAAACACGGACAAAAGGACATTTTCTAAAAATAAATTCTAGCTAGATCGATTTATTGCCCCCCGAAACTCCCTGGACACTAAATTTTATCAAAATCGTTGCTCATCAACATAACATAGAGTAATACGTTTAAAGGTATAGGATAAATATCCACTTAGATAACCACACTTTCAATTAAAAAGTGAGTACACACTGTTACTGCGTTATATAAATACTATAAATATCCATTTAGATAGCAACACTTTCAATTAAAAAGTAAGTACACACTGTCACTTCGTTATACAAATACTATAAATATCCACTTAGATAGCAACACTTTCAATTAAAAAGTGAGTACACACTGTCACTTTGTTATACAAATACTATAAATATCCACTTCGATAGCAACACTTTCAATTAAAAAGTGTGTACACACTATCACTTCGTTATACAAATACTATAAATATCCACTTCGATAGCAACACTTTCAATTAAAAAGTGAGTACACACTGTCACTTCGTTATACAAATACTATAAATATCCACTTAGATAGCAACACTTTCAATTAAAAAGTAAGTGTGTGTACAAATACTATAAATATCCACTTAGATAGCAACACATTCAAATTTAAAAGTGAGTACACACTGTTACTGCGTTATATAAATACTATAAATATCCATTTAGATAGCAACACTTTCAATTAAAAATATTTTTTTATTGAATAAAACTATTATTTATGGATTTTATCGCGTTTAATTACTTTAATTTGTTTTTACTATCCCGACGTTTCGGGTGCTTTACAACACCCATGGTCACGGGGGGGGACTGAGATGTTTGACGTCCCAATGTCATAGTTAGTCCGGCTACCTTCAGTTTTTGAATATTAATTTTTGGTCCGATTTACGCAAAACGAGCTTATAGTATCATGAATTCTTGCAGTGGTATGCTTGGGTTTGGGTTTAATTTTGTTAATTATGGGATCCCAAGCTGCTGGCAGCACCCATCCATCTTCTCTATTGAAATTTGGATGTTTTTTAATTTCAATAGCCTCTTATCATCTTTGGTAGGATTCGGTGTTCTTTTGCGAGGATTTGTGGTTTATCAAATCGAATGTAATGGTGGGGACGATCTTGAACATGTTCGCAGACTGCAGACTTCCCGCAGCGTCGGTGCTTCACGTCAGCTATATGTTCCTTCACACGGGTTTTTATAGATCATTTTGTTTGACCTATGTAAGAGAGACCACATTCACAATCTAGTTTGTACACACCTGCATCCTGTAGAGGAATATTACATTTGATGGATGGTAAAAATTGACTAATCTTCTTTGGCGGCTTGTAGTATGTTTTAATGGAAGCTCGCTTCAAGATGTAGCCAATCTTGTCTGTGACTCCTCTGATATATGGTAGTACAGCAGGCGCACGCTCGACTGTGGCTGGCTTCACTCGTACGTCACGCTCGACTGTGACGTAGGCGCGGGACCCGAAGCTTGTTGTCTTGCAATACTTGCTTGACGTGTTGAAGCTCGGCGGCCAGATGTTTTCTGTCACAGATCCCTCGTACTCTCTGAAACAAAGATTTACCCACGGTAGCTAACTGTGAAGGATGATGCTGAGATTCACCATTTAGATATCGGTTGGTATGGGTCCTTTTCCTATACACAGTGTGACCAATAGTGTTATCAGGATTTCGGATGACTAAAACATCTAGGAAGGCTAAAGAATTATTTGCCTCTAACTCCAGTGTGAATTGTATTTTAGAGTTTATGCAGTTAAGGTGGTCTAAAAATGCTGTTACTTTGTCAGATGGTAAAATTGTGAAAGTGTCGTCTACGTACCGCTTGTAGAACCTTGGATTTACAGGAGCAGTAAGAAGGGCTTTCTCCTCAAAGTCCTCCATGAATATGTAGGCGACTATGGGAGACACAGGTGAGCCCATCGCCACACCATCTACTTGCTTGTAGAACTCCTCCTTCCACAATAGATAGCCAGATGTGAGGCAGTGTTCAAGTAATATTGCATATTCTTGAGGCATGTTATTTTCTTCCAGTTTCCTAGTTACAATTGAGATGCAGTCAACAATAGGTAGGCAAGTAAATAGTGACTGAACATCAAAACTGACCATAGTTTCATTGTCAGCGAGATGTAGGTCTTTTATCTCACTCACAAAATGGTATGAATCCTTTGTGTGTGCTCTGGTATGTCCTCTCAGTGGTGATAGTATTTTTGCTAAGTGTTGTGCCAGCTTATAAGTTGGTGAATCGATCTGGCTCACTATGGGACGTAGTGGAGCGTTTGGTTTGTGTATCTTCGGTAACCCATACAACCTCGGTGGTTTGGTGCATGATTGTATTAGTGAATTCACGTCGAGATTTAATTTTTCGGAGTATTTCTTTATTAATTCGCTAGTTGTTTTAAGTGTGTTAGTTGTGGGGTCTGTTTTGATCTTTTTATATGTACTTTCGTTCGATAAAATTTGTTGTATTTTAAATCTATATTCCGACGTGTCCATTATCACCGTAGCATTTCCTTTATCCGCGCGGAGAATCGTGAGCTCTGGTCTGTTCCGTAAGTTATTCAGCGCTGTAAATTCGTCTTTAGGAAGGTTTGGTTTCGGCACTGAACTACGACGTAACAAGGACGAAATATCTTGACGTATGGCCTCCAAATCTTCCTTACCGATATTATTCTTAAACAGACAATCCTCGACACTGCAGATAATTTCTTCGTACGGGATTTTTCGCGGTGTTAATGCGAAGTTCATTCCCCTCGCTAATACTTTCATTGTCGGTTCGTCCAGTGTATGTTTTGACAAATTGTAGACCGTGCGTTGTTTACAGTTTGAGTCTATGATCAACGGTTGTGTATCGTTCTGGCGTTGACTTGGATGTTTGGCATTTGATTTGATCGTTAATTTTTGGTATTTTTCTATTTGTTTATATTTGCATTCATTGTATTTCGAGGTTTCCCGTTTGTTTAAAGTTTCGATGCAATTATTAAAATCAAATGTCGTTAAAATTGTCTTTAGTTCACTGGACATGTGAAACTGTGACATGTGTGTTATTTATGAAATGTAAATCGAACCGTTTCTGCTGAATCACCGTTCGTAACAACTTTTTACTTGCCTGATTTAAGATCTTAGCGCTTCCTCGAATGTCTTTCTTTGTTGATATTTTGACACACGTAGGAATGAGATTATGGCCTCTGCATCTCTTCAAGAAATTTAAAGATGTTATATATCTTGCGCGCTTGGATTTAAGATCTTCTAATCGGCGAATTTAATTTGCTATTACCAGTCCGTACTGGTTCACATAATGATTTCTTAAATTTACGCAAACACTACACATTGAATAAAACTATTATTTACGGATTTTATCGCGTTTAATTACTTTAATTTGTTTTTAATATCCCTATAATTAACAAAATTAAACCTAAACCCAAGCATACCACTGCAAGACTTCATGATACTATAAGCTCGTTTTGCGTAAATCGGACCAAAAATTAATATTCAAAAACTAAAGGTAGCCCGACTAACTATGACATTGGGACGTCAAACATCTCAGTCCCCCCCGTGACCATGGGTGTTGTAAAGCACCCGAAACGTCGGGATAGTAAAAACAAATTAAAGTAATTAAACGCGATAAAATCCGTAAATAATAGTTTTATTCAATGTGTAGTATTCGCGTAAATTTAAGAAATCATTAATATTTTTTTAAACCGGGAGTAAGCTCTGCACAACTAATGAGGGCATGACGTTTTCTACTACGGCACCATCTAGATTGATTAGAGATTAAATGAGGTGAATTATTTGAAAAATTTCGTAGCGGGGGAAGTTAATTTGTAAGAATATGTATAATAGAGATTAATGTGGTTTTTTCCCTGAAATATTAGTGATATTGTGTATAATATATGGTGTAACTTGAGGGGTGAATCATCGGTGGCTGGAGTGTGGAGGATCTCAGTACCTATCGATTTAAGCCCCTCACCCCTCTATGTAATGCGATACGCAGTGGTTTAAAAAAAGTTTTTTTTTTATAGGATAGGATGACAAACGAGTCCACCTGATGGGAAATGGTTGCTGTAGTCCATAAACATCCTATATCTATCCTCGTTTACGAATCAAAATGCAAATGCGTTGTCACCAACAACTATACTACTAATATAACTGCAGCATGGCTCTACCCCGTATAAAATCATCGGTGGCTGGAGTGTGGAATGATTATTTTGACTAGTAAAATTTTTTTCAAAATCAGATTTTTTAGCCTAAACATCTTACGGGAAGGTCTTTTGTACCTTTAAACAAAACAAAGGCTTAAATTTGTAAAAAATCTAAATTAAAAAAGACCAAATATTTCACATATTATGTATTATCAACGACCTAACTTAAAACTACTAGCTTTCATAAAGAATTAACCCTGAAAATTTAATTTTCCTAGTGCTGCCAAAACAATTTTTGTATGATATCCCGATTTTTGTTCTACCTAGTTGAGGAATGTGAAAAGATCAATGCTAATCTATTACCAACTTTTGTTTAAACAATAACACAGATCAGAGTGTATTTTGATAATACGTACTTATGTTTATCTATGATTACAATCATTACTTAAAATATCCAAGATAACGTAACCTATTACAAAATTTGACTTGCAATACCTATAACGCTGTGATGCTTTGTTTTGTATAAACGATAGTTAAATATAAGTCATATAGTATATCTAAATTATCTTCACAGAAGTATAGTCTAATTTTCGTAGACAATGTTATTCGGGTATCTTCTTGTCAGTTTTAACTAATCCATAACTTCCCCGGCGTTCTTATACTCGTATTTATGCATTCAGGCGCAACACACCAATGATAGAGATGATAACTCATTATTAAACATCCAAAAACATCTTTTCCTTTGCCAAATCGGCGAAAACATAGGACAGTGACGTCATGAGCTTCACAGTATGGCGGCTAGCGTTTTAGCGCGAAATATTAAACGATAAATTAAAAGTAATTTCTATGACATTATTCGGTTAAAAAAATTATATAAAAATTATAGTGGTTTATTATCACTCTAGGATTCATTTAAAAACACTATTTGAAAATGTGTGTAATTACACTATTGATAAAAGCGGCCGCCAGTTTGAAAAATCTTGTTATTAAACAAGTACTACTAACAAATATTACGAATACAAATATCTACAACGAAAAAAAGGCTAAAAAAATAATATTGAACCTTATTTCATTGTTTTAAGGTTCATCTGTTAATACATTTTGAATAAAAATACTGCAATTGTGGTGTGACTATGTCGATAATAAAGTTTTCGATAAAATTTTATCCCAGTCCTGTTTATCCACTAACATATTAATGCTAATATGCAAGTACTGGATGTCAATGAAAATATACAAAATCATAGGGTGATATACCCTGTAATTTGCTTTTCATTCATAGCAAATTATAGGGTGACACCCTATAATTTGCTATGAATGAATTTTTTTGTTTAAGGACTTTAGTATTACTCATGACTTTTGGAGTGCTGAAATAAAAGTGATCTATATTGGTATCCGAATTCATTATTGTTTAAAATTTTATGTTAACCCTTAAATGCATGACATACCCAATATCATTGGAAAAAATATATGTTGTGTAAAATGGTTTATAGATGCTGGAAAAAATAAAATAAAAAATCATTATTCAATATAATTAGTTTTATTTTGAAAAATATTCTGGTATCATTTTTGATACAACATGCAAAAAACTACAATTTTATTCTCAGTTCTATTGTGTACTACTTCCGTTAATTGACTTATTGTTAATTATTGCAAAGCACTAATGTGCAACCAAATGATCACAAAAATATGTCCTATAGATGAAAATCATTAAAACAGTCAGTTGTTTTTTTGTTAGAACACAAATACACCTTACATTTTAGACACATAATACTACTCAGCAGTTTGCAGCCTGGGTTCATGCACCTCATACGATTTTGTTGCCTCGATTGAATATGATCCACTCCATCGTACCGAACATCTCTCGAGGGCATTACCTGCTGGATGTTTTTCCTTTTAGGTGCTGGCTCCTCCGAAAAGTTTCGGCTTGGTCGACCTCGTGAAGGTACAACATGTTCGCCATATTTGCAGAGAGCATCCGCCAATTCAGCTCTAAACTCTGCCAGATTCAAAACCTGCTTAGGGTTCAAATTCTTTTTAGCAGAGACTTTCTTATATAATATCCAGGAGTTAATTACTGATAGGTCGAGTAAGTGGTAAAAAATTCGCATGTACCATTTCCGAGACTTTACTTTTATGTGATACCTGCCTAGGAAAGAGTCCATGAGGTCTACTCCACCCATGTGTGCGTTGTATTCCTTTATTATTTTTGGACATGGTATGGGCACCTTTTTCTTTTGGTTTTTGTCATATCTTTCAATCGTTTCTACAGGTTCAGCGCCAATATAAGTGGAAAGTAAGGTCACCTGCTTGTTATCTTTCCAACTGATCGCAGAAAAATCCACACCATCGAGACTTGTCGTGTTTTCAACGTAGGATCCTCGGGGTACATTACTGTTCATTACTTCTTTCTTTTTAGGCAACTTACAAGACTTTCCTAGACGGTTTAGCTGCACCGTACCTAAGCACCATATGCCTTCCTTCGCCATGTAATACATTAGTGGTAATGAAGTGTAATAGTTATCGAAGTATATTACATGGTTCATCATTCTTGGGACTCTTCTAGTTAACTTTATTACTGTATTACCGGTCACTCCAATATCAGGTTCATTACTACGCATTGGTTCTTTGTCTGTTCCACTATATATTATGAAATCATAGCAATATCCTGCCAAGGAACACAACGCAAAAAGCTTGAACCCCCACTTGTGGGGTTTATTGGGTAAATATTGTTTCAAGAAATGGCTGATTTTTGTTGCGCACATTTGTTCGTCAACTGAAAGGCGTTGTTCCATTGGAACACTAGAAAATTTCATTGTCAGATGATCTATAATGGGTCTTAGTTTGTGAAGTTTATCATGGTCGGGGCTACCAACTGGTTTGTGTAAATTATTATCATTGAAATGTAATATGCTTCTTACTTTTTCAAATTTGTTGACAGGCATTGCTTCTATTATTGGTCTAAATCCAAATTTACTGCTCCAATACGATCTAACGCTTGGGTAGCGATAGACAGACATGAATATCAATATTCCCAAATATTTTCGAAGTTCTGTAAGGCTTATTTGAACGGGGCGATCAATATTGGTCTGCGTCGAATATTTATTGGTTTCTTCAACAATTTTTTTCAACAAGTCTTCTGAAAAGTACTGTGAAAAGAACTGCAGTGGGGTTTCTAGTTTCATTAGTTCAGGTCCTAATTCTGTACTACCCAAGAAAGCAATTGATTCCTCTTTATACTCCAAAGAGCGTTTTTTCCAAATCAAATTTCGTGTATTTATTTGCGGAAATACATTAGACCGAGAAGTCGAAGCTTGTTGATAGATTTCTTCATGAACCAGGGGAGGATCCGGGCATTCTTCAGTTTCAGGCACTTCCTCTTCATCACTTACTTCTTTATCTTCGAGTACGGCTTGTAGATCTTTGCGAGACGGATAGAAATCCAAGTCATCCTCATCTGATTCGGCATCGTCTTCTGAAATTTCGCCAGCCTCTAACCGCATTAGCATATTTTCTATATCATCGTCTTTCAATTTCTTTCTTGTAGTTCTGCAACAAATTTGTAAAGTTCAAAGAAGCGTAAATAAAAACAAAAACGCGAAAATCATCAACATGCATAGAAATATTTTTTATGCCTAAGTGCATGGTGTCTCATTTTCGATACAAACTAAAAACTCTTTTGTTTATGAGAGAAATCAATTTTTCGTAAAAAATACATAAACCTACTATAAACACAAACACTTACCTTGACATTGTATATTTTTTTTTGATATAATTTGTCTCAAATCCACTCCGATTCGTCTGGATAAAGTTAGAATTTTTCACAAAAACATTCACTCGCTGACAAGAATACTTTTGACAGCTACGAAACAAATATGGTGGACCAATACGAGAAACTTTGTTTTTTTTTCCGATAGACAAATAGTCTAAGGGCATCGTAACATACAGCCTAATAAAAACAAACAATTGGCTTTAAGTTTTAGTTAAAAAATCTCAACGTATCGTTTTTGATACATTATGCATTTAAGGGTTAAAGTGTGAAAACGACAATGTTTAAACAAATGTGTGTTTATTTAAATGACAATAAACAATTGCTAAATTATTGGTTTTTATTATTGCTTCCATTTCATTAAGTCACCGTTAATTCATTCGTCTGTTTTTGAATGTTCAACCAATCACAAACACAACACAAAAAAAAATTGAATATAATGTTTTTGTTTTGTTATTCGGGGGCGAGGGGGGGGGGAGAAATATTTGCTAACTACATCATCTTTATTTTAGATATGATAGATATGTAGAATAACTATATATTTAAAAATACTTAACTTTTGATTGCCTTAAAATTTTTAACTCTTGAAAAATTGTTTAATTCAGATGGCGGGTCAGATAGATATGAACATGCAGAGTGACTTGATGGCTGCATTTGAAGAATCGCTGTAAAGTGCAACGTGAACGATATTTTAATTGTAAATATATAAATAAATGTAATGTCAATGCAATATATACAATACTAATGGTGATAGTTTGACACCAGAGTGAATTTGTGATTGTTTTATGTGTGAAGTTGTTGACTAACATGTGGTTAAGTGCTGTGAATAGATATACTTATTTTAAATTAAACTGTTGTATCATCAATGTAGATTTCATGAGTCGCGTGATGCGTCTTGCATTTTAATTAATGTGTAATATATAAGTTTGTATGCAAGTTCTTAATGTAAACTCTTTACATTGTAGTCCTATATTTATATTGTGTTCTAGAAGTGTCTTCTACCTTCCATATTTGTTTTATAGTTTGTACTAAATATAGCATTGTAGAAATTTAAATTGATAAGAAAATCAAAAATGTTTTATTTTATGATGTACCATACTGATAAATAGTAATCAATTTAACCATGAAATCTGTTATTCATCATGCATATTCGCATTGCATTTAAAGGTTAGAATTGTATGGTTTTGCATATTTCGTTATGCATAATAATTTGTTTAGTTTTCAATTCAATGCCAAAATGCAATGGGTTTAAAGCATGCGTTATGTATTTAATAGTAAATAAATTTCTGTTACGTGTTCGATTTGCGATAAATATTTCTTAATGTTAGTAGATTTTTTATCAGTCTGTCATTGTAAAACAGATCAAATGTCATACATTTGATTTGAAATATATTTATTTTACATTGGAATATGTCTTTTTTATGTTTGTAGTTAGATAACTCCAGTGGAAATTATATAGAGTATTATCAAAATTGAGCATGCTCATAAGCTTTGATACAATACTGATGGATACTGACCCACAAAACACTGTATAATGTTAAGAAAATTTTCATTGCAGTCATTTACTCAAACTTTTAAATCAAATTTAGATATAAAGTAAAATATTGACATTCCATATAGTAAACAGTTGTTTAAATTGTATATGTTTGTAAATACGTGGTTCAGTATGAGTATGCAAGCAGAGAAACAAGTATGTTAATTAGATATTTAAATTCCCATAAATATTGTATAGATCAATTATTTGCTTTTCTTTGAATTAGATGTATCAAAATCATAGAGGTATTCTTATTTTTTCGTAGGTAATTAGACGAAAAGTAAGAACTTTGCTACTGTTTGGTGCATTGAATGTTGACATAAGTGTTAAATATAGAGACTTATGAAACTCAAGCATGAGTGTTAATGGTTGGGTAATACAATAATTAATTAAGCTTATGACAAAATTTAACACATTTTATATTTAAAAAAAAACTATGACCTTAATAAATAACTAAAATATTGGCATATTGAGATGTAAGTGTTCTGACTTGCCTTGCGTATTTTGTAAAAAGGCATATTTCTATCAGTCTATTCTGCCTTTAAAGCAAACAAAACAAGGTACGTTTCCCGTGCATTAAATAGCTAAATTGATATTTCCTTAGAGTGTCTCCTAAAATTATCCCTAGTATAGGATGTATCTAAAACAATTTCATTTTTACTACAAAAACTTTATTACAAAAACATCACGTTCGTAATGTATATTTTGCTACAGAAATATAGTTGTTTACGAAAAATGAATTATAGGTACTTATGCTATTGCTGGTAGGCACTTACTACGTCTATACACTGAAACTATGTACATGTATATAATATGTATTTATAGCATTGTACATGTACTTATCCTAATAATTAAAAATAAAACAAGGAAATTAAGAATACACTTTTATAAATAAACATTTATTTGGATGAGTATTTTTTTCGATTAAATTTCCACAACCTTTTTCGTTGCAACTGCTTATTAATTTAATGGGTTGCAGTTAATAATAGCCGTTTTTTGGCTTATATCATCAACTTTCTTCATTCTAGTTCAAAGTTGAATAGGTTACTAAAGCAATACATCTTAAAGTCAATATTTTTATTCAATTCAGGTCTTAGAGTAGTTACATAAATATATACGCATAGAGGAAACAATTCTACATAAATTGAGTCAATCTACTTGCCTCGCTTTTTCTTATTTTTTAAAATAAGGCAAAAAGAGAAACTTATTGAAAGAGTTCCGTGTAATTTTTGCTTAGAGCACTAATGATGTCGTCGCCTTAGGTCCACCTTAGTACCATATTATGGTAAATAAAGAGTAATTGTGTTCTGTGGTAAGTACCCTCGTATCTTCTGATTTCCTTGAAAAAATGACATCCCTGTTGTAGTAGTATTTATTATGTGTGACGTTATTTCAATAGACATGACGTCTTTATTCTATAATGATTTCGTGCTCAATGTTAGCAACAATCGACATCATTTTTCGATATGCTTGTTTTTGTTTATTTATTTATTTTTTATTACTTTATCAAAAATATAAAGAAAATATAAACAATATAGGCTTATTATTTATTATTCGAGCGATCAAGTGAATAGTTTTTTTTTTAAATTAAGTGATGATGATTACATTACATTGAAAATATTCGTGTCGCAAACTTTAAAAACTAAAAGGTAGTGAGTACAATCACGCGGTACATAATAGAATTGTATCCCATTTATAATCCCAATTTTATATGTTGTACCACTTGCTTTTGCTTAGCGAAAAATTTAATCATTGAGAAAACTATATCTGCTTAGATGAAAAATCTTGATAATGCTGTCCACTATCTCCATCCCAAGAATATATATAGCCCCGGATCTAGGGTGGGGGCAAACCGGGGCACCCGCCCCGGTCGACAGTTTCAGGGGGCGCTATAATTATAATATGATTGGAAAAAATAGTTTTATTTGCTTCATAAAGCGCCTAGTATCCAGCGCACGTTGTTCTGCCAATTATTCACTTGATTTTAAAACTCCCAGTTGGTTTTTGAACACATCCTAAGGGTTTATTCCGACATGCGTTGCCAGCAGCTGTAGTGCAGTTGATTGTTCGCAACATCTAATGGCGTGAATTTGGATTTAAACAATTTAGTAATTCTACAAAGAATTACTGTTAACAATTATTTAAAAATTAATTTTATGTTTATTTTTTTATTTATTAGAATTATCATAAAATTATAACAATTAGTAATTGTTATAATGGATTTACGCAAAGTAACGCCTGATTCTATCAGTTATCATAAAATTAATAAATTATTTAAATTCATATGAAGTGGCTTCACGAAGGAGGCTCCTCCTTAAGCTCCATTCATACTTTTGATACGATTTCGGGTATTCTGAATAACTCTTGTATCTTGGACATTGGAGTTAATTAGAGTGAACAGTAAAAATTTCAAGGCTCAGATGATGGTAAACAGTCTTCGTCGTCGGTATTATCTCAGCCGGACGATGACGTTCAGCTAGCATCTAGTGAATTATTACAGTCAAATTAAAAACTCAAGTACATGCCCGGACCACAAAAAATTACAGATCAACAAAGATCATTCTTCAGCAAACAAGTTATATTATTAAATGATGAACATCCAAATAACATAGAGTTTATGTCAATTGAACGTAACGGTGGGCCATTTGACCAAGGTTCTGAACATTGGTACATAAGAAAAATATTAAAAGGTCCTGGCTTGTTTATTCGAAAACAAAAATGCGCTTTACTGCACTGCCTGCAAGTTATTCGCCAGCACTTTTACATCAGCCTTTTGTAATGAGAGTCCATTATTTGGTAAAAGACTTCGGAAAGATTAGCTGAGCATGAAGTATCACAAACGCAAAAAAATATTTTATCAAATGGAAAACTCGTCAACAGCAAATTAAATTGTGTCAGGGCATCGATTGCAAGATAGAGCGATTATTTTCACTTTGAGAAAGAAAAGTAGAGAGATATTCTACATCGCCACAAATTGTCTTCTTTAGAGGTTCTAAAGAAACAATGACAGATTTCACCGAAAATTTTCCTCAACCTATTCAAGGAAACTTCCTTAATTTGATAAGTCTGCCCATTAAATACGATGCTCCTCTCAAATACCATTTAGATCACGTAAAAAAGGACGGGTATCCCATTTGCTAAAAACGATACAAAATGACATTACAGATATAATGGCAAACAAAGTTCAAAATACCATTATTAATGACATCAAGGAGGCCAACTATTTCACCATCATGTTTGACTGCACTCACATGGAACAAATGAGCCAGGTGATTCGATTTATAAAAATTACAGAATCTGGATGTGTTATAAAGGAAAATTTTATTGATTTTATTGAAGTTGGTGGAAAGACTGGAGAATATATATTACAAAGCGTAATCTAGAAAAATTAGAGCATGATAGTTTAGATATGCACGGATGTGACAACGAATCTAATGTGGCTGGCAAATATAGGAGTTCAGTCCAGTATTATGCAGATTAACGAGATGGCAGAGTTTGTATCATGTCTAGCACACTCAAAATCTTGTAGGCGTGCAATCAGCGTCATTATTTCCAGAAGCAGTTAGCCTATTTGAGCTTGTACAAATACAAACTTAAAAGGAAGTAACAAATCTCAAATGCTGAAGAGAGGAGGCGCCACTATCTGAAGTTTTAGCCCCGGGTCAAAAAAACGTAGATCCGGGGTTGAATATATATATATATATATATATATATATATATATATATATATATATATATATGTATATATATATATATATGTGTGTGTGTGTGTGTGTGTGTGTGTGTGTGTGTGTGCGTGCGTGCGTGCGTGCGTGCGTGCGTGCGTGCGTGCGTGCGTGCGTGCGTGCGTGCGTGTGTGCGTGTGTGTATGTGTAGGAAGGTAGTTTAATAGAATTAATTTACAATTACAAAATACATGGTTCACAGGTAATCAACTATAAATAGTACTGAGACTTAATTAACGACGAATTAATTATCCGAATAGTCTAGCTAGTAGCGGAATACAACAAGTGAACCGTCCCACGCCAGAGCCATGACTGCTTTAACGGCTTTTTTTTTGCGCCCGAAGCAAATAATGGCCAACCCTCCGGAAAGCGGGGGAGGGAGGTGGGGAATGCTCATAGCATACCACGCAGC